CTGTATACCTGCCCTTAGCCTAATTCTCAATTCTTGTGTGATATATGCAGGTCAGCCTGGACATTGCCATCCTGCTGCAGGTGTGGATCTATCGGAACAACACGAAGCCGCGCGACTTGCGGCGCGGCGATTAGCAGTTTGCCCCCGAAGAACAACTACAGCAGCAGCAGCAGCAGCAGCAACACCACCAACAGCTACAAGAACAACAACAACAACAACATCAACAACACGATCTGTGCATATCGCATTCCGAGGAGCGACAACTATCGCTGCCCATAACGCTCAGCAGCAGCGGCGACGATCATCTGCTGACAGCACGCGCCGACGATGAGCACTTCAAGGCTCTGGACTATGGCCAGTGCCACGACAATCGCGCCTTCCAGTACCACAACAACAACAAGCTGCTGCCACGCCCCGGCGGCAGCGGCAAGAGCCAGAGCCGGCACGACAATGCCAGCAGCAGCAACAACAACAACAACGCGACGACAGCGAACGCCGTGGCCGTTGCCCTCGATGCCCTCGAGGTGGTCATCGTGCACACGCCGAGTGCGCGGCTCAGCAATGGGCCGGGCAGGCCGCGCATTTATGGCGGCCACGAGCACATGCATGGGCGTGGCAGCTGCTGTCAGCGGCGCAAGCGTCACAATGCCACACAGACGTCGGCGCAGCGCTGCTGCTGTTCGGTCGCTGCCGCCGCGGCAGCAGCAGCCGCCTCGGCCACTGTCTGTCATTGCCATGTGACGACGACGCATCATCACCATTGCCACCACCACTGCCACCATCATCACTATGGCACTGGGAAGCGCCGGCAGCGGCCGCAGCACCAGGAGCTGCCGTCGCATCACTCGCATCACTCGAAGCAGTCCAAGTTGCATTCCGCGCACAGTCCGCTTCCAGCCAGCAAGGGCCAGCACAACCACAACAACAACAACACCAAGTCTTCCCTGGACTCGAGCGAGGATGCAGCGCGAAGTCGGGCGCAGTTGCACTCGGCAGCGATTGCCATCGAGATCGATGCGGCCACCGTCACGGAGAACAACAGCAGCACGGCCACCTCCAATTTTCCGTACAAGGTGGCCAGCGAGGGCGGCGGTGCGCCCATGAATCTGCTGCCGCTCTCCGAGCAGCATCGCCAGCGGCGACGCGGCTCACTCAACTCCAACACCACCATTGAGACGGATGAGCTGTCGCGCGACGACGACGATGACGACGACGACGATGATGATGATGTGCGCATGGGCGTGCAGCCGGAGGATGAGGAGCATCTGACGCCGTCGACGGCCATACAGCCGAGCAGCAGCTCGAGCAGCACAGCACGCGCCCTTGCCGGCGCTGCGCCGCCACGGAACGAGTGCGTCCGGATCAAGCGCAAGCGCTTTGTGCCCGACGCCATGCAGGATTACTGCAGCAGCTGCTCGCGCTGCTCCAGCTGCAGCTGCGATCAGGCGCGCACCAGCTCGTGCAGCAGCCTGGACGACGATCAGGAGGCCCGAGAGCTGACTGTCGCCGTCGAGTGCCATCGCTGCATGGCCGAGCAGCAGCCGAACAGCCGACGCAGCAGCCTGAAGAGCTTCTGCTCCTGCCACACGAACAGCTGTTGCTGCGGCCAGTGCAGCGAGGGCGACGACGACGAGCACTTTGCCGGCGATGAGGATGAGGAAGAGGACGATGAGGACGAGACAACGGGACAGCGTGAATCGTTCTGCACAGCCGCCGATCACACCATCCTCAGCACGCCCACGCAGGAGGAGGGCCACAGCAGCACGCTGACGCCGCTCAGCACCCAGGAGCACACGATGCGCAGCGACCTGGCCGACAATGATGTGGATGGCATAACCGATGCGGACGCCTCGTCGCTTAGCCAATCAGCCGAATACTTTTCGCTATCTTCCGCTGTGGGCGGACCACTGCCAGCGACGGCGGCAGCGGCAGCGGCTGTAGGCAAGGTGGAGACGCCGCAGTGCAGCAGCAGCGGCAGCGCCAGCAGCCGTAACAATAGCAACAACAAGCACTGGAGCAAGCATATAAGACTCAAGCGCAGCTCATCGCCGCTGGACACGCACTTATGACGAAGCGTTTCGCTGGTCGCCTGGCCAGCGATCGATGTCAATGCGCTGCTGCAGCAAACGATACGCAAATCGGCGGTGCTGCAGGAGACGCCAGTGAAGCGGCGCACACCAGTCGCATCGCCGCAGCTGCCACGTCCAGCCGTTGCAGTCGCTGCCACCGGCAGCAACGACAGCTCCACGGCCACCCTTACGCCGGCGCCCAGCGTCATCAGCGCCAAGCAAACTTTGGCGGTGACCACGCGCAATGGCATCACCACCAACACGACCACATTGCCAGCGCTGAGGACGAAGCGCGGCGGCAAGTACTCGCCGGTGCTGTCCGGCGATGCCTACAGCTGTGATCCACTGCAGCGGCGCTCCACTGAGATCATACTCTAGATGTGGGTCCGTCCCACTGATACCTCTGCTTGGCTGTGTCTACAACAGAGTTGGAAGGAAGGAATGACGCTTCTTGGAATTTCATGTGCAACATTTTTCTACTCTCAGATCAACAAACCAACATCATTTAGCTGTTCATCATGTTGTTATTCGGGGGTTCCCCAATGTACATTATTTATATATATATATAATATTTTTATTTGTGCGCCAATAGCTAATTTGCTATACATATATATGTAGTTTATGTATGTATATACATATATATGTTACTTTTGTATATGTGTATATTTGTATATTTTTGATTTTAGTTGAAAAACGTGAATTTAATCGCCGTCGACTCAGAGCCAATTTGCCAACAGGCCTAATTTTAGTAACTAGCTAAACTAAACTAAAAAAAAAAAAAGAAAATAAAGATATAAAAACAAAAACAAATCACATACAGAGACAGACATATCCATTCTCCAAACCTAACCATTTACTGTTTGGCAATTTGGCTTTGATGTTTTGGCCAGAACCTTGTTTCAATCATTTCGTACAATTTGTTAGTCAAATCCTCTTAGTCAAGTAAGTCAAATAAATGCATGCGAAATAAATGTAAACAAATTTCTATATATATACGAAAATAAGAAATAATATTAAACGTTAATCTCGATCAATTTGCAAGTAGCAAAACGAAATACATTTTGTACATTTTATGATTTTTCTAGCAGAATTTATTAGCTAAGGCATAAATTGTAAATTAAAATAAAACCAAACGACAAACGAATTTATGATTTTCTTTTTATTTATTTTGATCACAAATTGGCACAAAATTTGATTATTATTATTATTTTGAATATAGAGCAGCGCACTCACACATACTATATTTGCTAGCTAAGTTTAAGCCAAGTATATATATAGAGTTAAGTAATTAATAGTTAATGAAAAGCATTATGCAAACGCAGCCAAATATCTTCCTTGCAATGTTGAGATTCCGTTGAAAACGCTACACACAATTAATTAATCAAAAATCTTGTTTATTTTTAAGCTACAACTATATACGTCAAGTGCTTGAAAATATTTGAAAAATATTAAAAAATTACAAATGAAAACTAAAAAACTAAAAAGTTTATCAACTCCACGAGTCAAAATATGTTTAAAAAAGATTTGCCTAAGAATTTGTTGATTAGTGCGTAGCCAAGGTCTTGTTTGCATATATATATCTTAGTATATATGTTAAATATATATATCTACATATTATATCTATATCGATTCTATGCTAAATATTTATGTATGTGTATCCAGAATTCGTGAATGAGTTGCCACCTGCTACGTCTAAATGTTTTTCCTTTCAAAATAACTCCAAATTGTAACGATTTACTTATAACCGATATTCATAACTATACCAATACATAACTGTTCAAACTATACGATCAATGTCTAAATTGTGCGCATTTCAATGTAGAACTATTTCGCTATCTTGAAAAGTTCTACCTATATTAATATACTCATTATATATATGTACTCGTATTCCTAAGTATACATAATACTAAAGCAATATTTGCATACAATTTAAATAAAATAAATTATTACCAATACAACTATAATACAAATACAATACGTGGCTATGCAATGAACTTTTTCTATTATTCAATTTGGCAAATAATTTATCCAGCTTTAGAATTGATAGAAAGTATTTGAACAAAAACCAATGCGGACAAAATTCATATTCTTTTTAGCGGCAGTTACTTAGTATTTTTGGTATTTTTCAGTTGACAGTTGCACTGCTTGCAACATTTAGTATTATTCATTTTCTAAGTATTTTATTACTGACTAAAGTTAAAATCAATCTGATTTCATTACGGTGACAACTATGCTCGACTCATAGTGCGTCGTCATTTGTGTTTATTTGTTTTTTAGTTTTTTTTTTTTTTAAATTAAAAGTGAATTTAGGTCTTCAACGTTTGGACATAAATTAGCCAGCCCGTCAGCATGCACTTCCAGTGTATTTTCCAACACGAAAGAGGCACGGCAACAGCTGTTCTACAGTGCTGATATCGATATTTCGATAGTTTATTTGCTTCTAACATTAAAGGAAAACACTGTGTCCGAAAGCGTTAACATTAATGTTTCGTGTGTTGCTCAAACTCAAAACTGAAAAAATTTCAAGCAGAACGTCTGGTGAGTTTTTTCGTGCGAGTTGCAGCAACGTTCTGCCAGCGATAACGTTCGATTAACTGTTAATTATAATAATTAAAAATTAATCGTGTCGCTTGTATAGTGAAAAGCAAATAGTTACACACTCAAATATTGCGCACAAATAGAATAACAAGACACAATAATACAGTTACAAGCTAACAAAGAGTAAATTTTGTTGATAAGAACGAGCTGACGGCAAAGAAAGAGAAGTGCAATTCCTCAACTGGTAAGTGTCACAACGCGAGCCCTAAAAAAAATAAGTGTGCGACTGCGAGTGTATAGTGTGTGTGTGTGTGTGTGTGTGTATGTACATACATACACATTTGTTAGATGTGCCTATTTGTATGTGTGAGAGAGAGTGCCGTTATCTATCCCTTTGTTGGCGCTGTGCTCTTTTGGCCCGCTACTGTAACAATTGTCAGCATCAATTTGCCAATTATGAGCTTTTAACCTCAGCCAGAAGTGAACACATCTTTCGTCGAGTATTTTTTGTTATTATTATTCAATAAATTGAATGGAAACACGACTCATTGCACTACCAGTGCCATTGTTGTCAATGCCAGGCAGCCTTCTCTTGAGTGTATGTGTATGTGTGTATATGCAGGTTGTGTAGCTATTGGTGTCTGTTTTTCCTATTGCATTGCACTTTTAGCTTCTGACATCGTTTTCTGCACCGCTATAAAAGCTGCTGTGGCTGCTACATATGATTGAAAGGGTGCGAGCAGGAGGGCGAATACAAAATGCTCGTCCATTCAATGTCAGCTTTTCATTGAACTTGATACTAAAAATTTGAGTGGTTTTTGTAGGCTGCGAAGGCTACCGACGAGGGCCAAGGCGCCAAGCTGTTGGACAGTTCTCTTAAATATTCTAGCTTTGAAACAACTAGGAAACAGGGCAAATATTCAACTATTTTTCAACGCTGGAAAAATATATGACATTGAACAAGTGACTCAACTCAAGCTTCAAATGCGCGTTCGTTTTGCTGCTAATGAGAAAGCTTTCATTTAGAATTAAAAGAAGCATTTGATGATACATAGTAAGAGATTGCCCTCGAAAAGATTGCGCACCTTATGTCTTAATTGCTCAAGCTGTGTTTGCACGACAAGCAACTTGTGCAAGGTCCAGCCTGCAGTAAGTAGCCTAGTTTCGCTCTTATCAACGCATACATACATGCATACATACATATGTATGTGCATATGTATATTTACTTATGTATCTATGTGCATATACATATACAGCTGCGCTCATAGAAATAGTAGTACAGTAGAATCCCGATAATTAGAAATGGCAAGCAGATGAGGTTTTTTTTTTATTTACACAGAAATTCAAGTCATCAAGAATTATTGAGAACGTATGTATGTATTTCTTTTAATGGGATAGAATTTTGTTCGATTTAGCGGGGTACAAACTATCGAGACTGGACTTTAGTAATATTTTGATATAGCTGATATTGTTCATATTTTGTTTATTTTGTTTTTGTTATCCAACATTTACTGCTCAGGCACACTACAATGTTTATAACCACAACTGTAAATAAATAACATTTGAATAAGATGTACCAGGCGGTAAAATAGAATTCCAGGAACAAAACTATAAACTACATAACCTAAATAACTCCTGTTGTAGCGAAATAAATAATCATTGCAGTTAATGCGATTTATTGCCTTAAGGTTTCCTTCCCGCTTAAAGGGTTCAAAAAAGAAAGGAATTAGTCAGCAAAAACTAGTTTTCTTCGCCCAAAAATGAAAGTGGAATGAATAACCAAGACTAAGGAGTTTATTGAAACATCTTCGAGTACCGCAAATACAGCAATAAATTGTGGAATACCAACTAATATCTTAGAATATATATTTTTTCATCAGAAAGATAAAATTCAAAAGTTTTTGTTTTTCAAACGAAGCTCTTAAATCAAGCCACACTGAATCAGTAAAACTTCGCAGTATTTGCAGTTCTGCTGTTGTCTTTTAAGTTCTTTTGTATTGTACTTGTTGTTGTGGTTGCTGTTGTTGCTGTTGGAGCTCTCAAGCCTGCAAATGACTTTCGAGAGGAAACAAAAATAAATAAAATAAACCGACTGAATATGCGCCAATTCTATTTACTGCTGACATCTCGACGCCCACACGCAACGCCAAGAAGGCAAAGTTCGTCCCAAATTGTGTGTTATTCATGAATGGAACCGAACGCGTTTCGAGTGGGGAATGCGGAAATGTCTGGGTGAGTGTGAATGAAACGGCTACAGCTGACAGCGGTTCGTCTATTCTGCTCTCACACACAGCCTGCGGCTTTTGCTGACTAACTGTTTATACTGCTTGATACGCAATGAAATGGGTTGCGGGAAAGAAGAAAGGGTATGATATTAGTTAGTAGATGTAACCAGACAGAGGACATATGTTTTAAGAGCCCATGGGGTGACATTTAATGTCGTATATAAATTGGTATAATGAAAGAAAGCAAATATATGGATGTACATATATACACACATATGTATACATGTATGCATGCAGATATAGAAGGTTAGATATAGAGATATAGATATGTACATATATGTGCCGAAATGAAGAGCTAAATGTATATACATATATGTACACACATACGTATTATAACTACAACTATAGTCGACATACTTTTACAGGGTATCTCTGCTGAGTACTTTCAACTAACTATTGTTTATCCGGGCAGCACATCATGCATAATCCAATCCCTAAAATGAGGGTTGACATTACGCGCTCTGAATTTAAATCGTCGTTGATCAGTTCCCGTTGAGCTTTTTGGTCTTTGGAGCTTTTTGGCCTAAGCATTTTATAATACTGCATCGCAGTCGAATTGACTTTCATAGGCAGCGCCTAAATGAATATCTCGATTCGCACAGTCGTAAATTGATTATGCATGCACATGATTGCCAGCCAGCCCAGACGGCCCCGCCCACGCTAGCGCATTTACCTGTCTGTGTATGTGTCTGTGTGTGCCAGGACTATAAATAGAGAAGGCTGCGCCGATTAGACGAGGTTCATTGCTTTGTGCAGTGAATTTATGAATATTACATGAGCATATCTACGACCCAGTCGAGGTGATAAACAATTTCCATCAACATGAGCCATATGTCAGTCGTACGTCTTCAAGTACCTGCAGTTCTGGGTATTGTTGCTCAACTTGCTGTCGTAGCTGCCTTTCGCACCTTCCTGTCCCCAATTGACGTCATTTTGTATAGCAACAGGATCATTGATAGAGGTTGAAATGAATCACAAGGTGCAGAGGTCGCATTAAAGAAAAAAATATATATACATATTTTTATTTCGAATTAAATTAAGTATATTTTGTAAACCTTGAAGTTGACCCAGATAATATTACATTAGATTACAGGTATTTTCTAAAATTAACCAAGTTCAACGGTATTAGGTGAAAATTGCTTTAAATTCTATGGCAAGAGGTTTAATAAGTGCCTCGTTCCGTTCCGGTGTTGAGAGTGCGTTCCCTGGCATTTCACAGCTTAGACCGTTAACAGCTCATCTCGGCCTTAATGGCCCTTCAGACAACACCCGATCCAATTGGACCGACAGGCCACTCCACCAATCCGCCAGCTGACAGGGGCCATAATCGAACCGCTAACCGACTAACCGAGCCAGCGAATGCGAGCCCAGACGCCCATTGCCGTCATCACATGACACACGCGTCAGCATGTCGCCCAGGTCCAAGCTTCCTGCATATTGTTGTTGCTGCTGCTGCTGTTGTGTGTGTTGGTGTTGCTGTCGTTCTGGTTGAAAGCAATTTCATAAATGGCTTCCGTTTGCACAGGACACGCGCAACGCTGTTATCGAGAGACCCATCCATAGCTTGCATCCTTTTCTCGCACCCAAAAAAAAACATGAAACAAAGCATGCTAAAAAAAAACATAAAAAGGCATATTGTGTTGCCTGCTTTCGG